TTATCACAACATTTTGGTGCTCTCTTTTTCTCCTCTCTCTCTGTCTCTGTCTCTCTCTCTGTCTCTCTCTCTCTCTCTCTCTCGCTGTGTGTGGCTCGTGACGCTAGCAGGCGGCCAAAAGATAGCAAATGCCGTCAGTTTGAAACATTCGGCTGAAGTGTGCGGTTCTCCAGCTCAAGCGCCAACAGCGCGTCTCTCACTCTCTCTCCATCTCTCTACAGTTAAAGTCGACTGTGTGTGTGTGCGAGTGTGTGTGACTGTGAGTGCGAGTGTGTGACTGTGTGTGCTGTGTGTGTGTGTACGTGTGTACGTGTGTACGTGCTGTGTGGCGTTTATTGTTGTGATAAAAGTGCCGCAGACTCTGTCGAAACATTAAATTCACGTAAAGGCGCTAAAAAGCAATCGTAAAGCGTTGCCAACTCGTCGTAGGCTCGCCTTCACTCGCCTTTTTTTTGTGTTCATTTCATTTTCTGGGCCGCAGCACACATGTAAGTTGTATTTTTCCCTTTTCTTTTTTGCATTGAGAGAATTTGCTTACTCCTGGTATGCTGTGACAAATTGCGCACCTGACAAACGCTCTGTGTAGGTCAGTGTTACACTCTGCTATCTCTCCGTATTTATGTGTGTGTGTGTCTGTGTGTGTGTGTGAGTGTGTGTGTCTGTGTGTATGAGTGTGTGTGTTTGTGGCATACTTTTTAAGCCTTGTCATATTTGCCCTTTTTTCATTGTTGTTCGACTTGTGCTGTTGCTGCTGTTGTTGCTGTTGTCGTTCCTTCAGTGCCAGTCTCCTCTTCAGTCGTTTAACCTGCCAACTGTCAATACAGCTTTTATTGTGGTTGTCTCTGCCCTGCTCCTTTGTGCGTGTGCGTGTGTCAGCCAAATCCGCCTTTGGCTATGTGTCAAGTCATGGCTCCTCATACACATTAGCCATATTTGCGTATGGAGAGTGTGCTCCTCACAACTTGCTCGCTTCGCAGAACAATTGTGGTCCAATTTCGCCCACAATTTTACCCCAAAAATGTTGCGTGCTAATTGCAGCTGTTTGTCTTTTCAATATTCAATATTTGCCGCTCATTAGCAGGCAATGCATAATTTCAATTTGCTATTTAGCATAACAAAGTGTTACCTGTTTCTGTTGTTGTTGTTGTTGCCTGTTTATATGCCACTTAAGCTATGCAATAATTTTGCTGTTCAATTAGTTTTGTGTAGAAATTCGAGCGGAAAATGGCCATCAGGTTATTTTATTTTATTATTTTTTCTTTTTGTTATTCATTCCTTTTCTCTTTTCGGTTTTTATAGCTACTATAAACATAAAAGTTTACCCCAGCTGCACACTCGAACTCAAACACAGCAGATTTTGGCACACACACATGTGGCATGGCATAATAAGTTTTGATTTGGTTTTATTGGTTAAGCCCAGAGGCCAAAAGCAGTTGCCCCCAACAACAAGCACACACACACATACACTCACACACACTACGCACAACGCACAACTTTGACACCTTAATGGCCAAGACGCACGCATGGCTAAACAGTCAAGCTGTAACTCTGGCAGTGAAAGAGGCAGGGGGCGAGTGGAGGGGAGGGGGGAGAGGGAAAGGCAATCAGCCGTCGCACGTCTAATGAAAATGTATAACGAGTTTCTCGTAATAGCAAAAATCTTGACGTATTTATATGTATATTAGTTTCGTATATTTGCTGCTGGCTTGGCATATGCCAACTGTTTGACTGGTTGTCTATCTGTAGGCCCTAACGAGACAGCCAAGAGATAAGTAGAGGGAAATGTCAAGGAAACATGAAGCAGCAGCACAATTCTTATTGAGTTTATCTCGCACAAAGCACAAACAACAACAACACACACTCAGCATCGAAATGAAAAGTTAAGCTCAACTTACTTTTGCTCAGTGAATTTACGTGAGATATTCAATTTAGAAGCATTTAGACAACATCTTATTTGTTTAGATGTAAAATAGCTAGCTATAGCTTTTTGTTTGATAAAATAAATATCAATCTTAATATAGGCTTACAGAAGAGTGGTCTAAGAGTGTTGAGTGCGGCGTTGTAAATTCAATTTGCAACCAATTCGATTCCATTGCCTACTTTGTGGCGTATCTCACTCACGGCCTGTCTGAATGACTGACTGAGTTATCTGTGCCTGCCAAGGATTGAGCTTTCAATTCAATTGCACAACTGACAGCTGATAGCCCCCCTCCTTAGTAGCAACGCCTCCCCGCCTCTGTCTATCCATATTGATTGTCTTGCTCGCATTGTTGCTCATTTTTAGTGGGGGGAATGTGCAACAGACACTTCAAAGTGCGCAACAGAATATCTATTTCGATTTATTCTGATGTGGTTACATTATATTTATTATATTATTTGAATGCAACTTTTATTTGTTTGCCTAATTTGCAACTTGTTTGCTCAACTATAACGTAATGGTTTTATGGTTTAATTAAAATGAATGCTAATCGTATTTACTAAAATTCACATTCAATTCATTGAAATTGTACATTGAAAAACATATATTATGAAATGAATGAGCAGGCCATGTTTATACAATTACATAATATCTAAAATATATTTTAAAAAATAGCTATTTCACTCGTATTTGCATAAACGGAAAGTATTTCCAAATAAACCACAAAAAAATAAATGTAATCCCATTAAAAAAATTAAATAAAATGATAAATACTTAATTAGCTGCAGCTGAAAATACATTAAATGCAACCAAAGAAAAAAGAAAAAAAACGAAACTTGCCACATTTTCAGTTATTTGATGGCAAATAAAAATTTCAATTATTAATTTATCGCTCTGAGGCAAGCAAATTAATTTTACTATTTGGTTTGGTCAACCCGTTTGTAAAGAATATATATTATTTACAGACGTATATATATACAGCCACGCCCCTGTGCGGCATGCATCTAGTATCTGTAAAACTGTCAACCTGCGCCTGACACGGTTTTTTAGTTTTATCATCGGTAAAAACAACAAAAAGAAATTGCCTTCAAACTGTTATTCGTTTTTTGCTTTCATATCTGCCGAAAAGTGGCAAATAAAATTGCAACGCTTTACTTTGCTGCTGCTGCTGCTGTTGCACAATTGCATTTCAATTTCTGCCGCTTCGTTTCCTCTCCCATTCCTCCCCCTACTATCTACAATCCGACAAATTGCCACTAGTTAAAATTCATATTGAAGAATATTTGAAAAATATGCGAAACATTTGGCATTTCTTTTGTGCGAATTCCAACACAAAATTTCTCATAGGCGCTTGAAATTGTTGAAGAATTGTGTTGAAAATTGCCACAGAACAGTTATCAGTTAACATTATTTATTTATTTAGTATTATGAAATATTACTTTGTTTTCATATTATTATTATATTATTCCCCTGGAAGCTTTAAAGTCAAACAGACATTTCCCAACTTGCGGGCTGATCACCCATAAATCTTGCATTCAATATGGAAAACTAAACTCCGTTTTGTACTCAGGCACTCTAGGTGTAAGCTAAATAATTGAGTAAATGCAAAATGAAGTTCGTTATGGGGCCAAAGACACGGTAAATGCATTTTATAAGGCATTCAACTTTTGCCTACACACACACACACACACACACACACACAAAACTTCGCACACTCTGCAAAACTTCATAAAAGCCGCCAAGCCAGAGCTACAAGGCCCGACATTAATGCAAAAAATGTCTGTCCCAGCGTCCGTCTTGCCTGCCTGGCATCTGTCCCAGGCCAAATGGGAAACTTGGCTGGCAACCGAGGCCAACTCGAGTCAGGCCAGCCCAGCCACAAAGCTGCAGCTGAAGATGAAGTGTTTATCTGAGGTTTTTATTATATAATTCTTCGTTTTCTTGTTGCAACGAGTATGCGGTTATTCACACCTATGTCTGTGCAAAAATAAAAAAAAATAAACACTCTGACTAAATTACAATGTCGTCAGGGGCAGAGAGAGAGAGAGAGAGAGACAGAGAGAGAGCTAAGCTCCTTGCACAGGTTATCCGCAGTGGTTTTCACTGAAACTTTGCTGAAAGTTTGACGTTTGCTAATCTGAAATGCAGCGCGTTGTGTGCTTAAACCAGTCCCAGGGGGATTATAAAAATTGGTTTATGGTGGATAAATGCATAATTCTTATTTTTCCAGTTTTTGGCTCGTTAAGTCATAAACTTCGCTCCAGTCCCGACCCTAATGAGAGCTGCACAGGTACAGGTTCTGGGTGGAACAGCTATTGGCTTTCGGCAAATTTAATTATGCAAACAGCAGTTGTTAATGGGTTTTTTAATGCCACGTAACTCTAAATTGAGTCTAGGGTATTTACTACACAGTAACAATTAACAAGGGGTAAAAGTAAAAGATTCTTTAGCTGAAGGTACGAAATTAAAAATATAGATAATAAAATAAAAATATGTTTATATTTGCGTCGTAGATTTTTGTTATTTGAATAGCACAAATGAATTTCTTATAGGGTATAATTTAAAGACTATTTGATATTATATTTTACGCGCATCGTGAAATTTAAATTTTTCATTGATTCTCGCAATTGCATCATTAAAAATGCATTTGTTTTACAGTTCGTGTTGCATTTAATGATGTTGTTGATTTTATTGTTTCATTCAATTCGCATTGTTGTTAAGTCGATTTATTTATGCAGCAGCATGCAAATTTGATTGCGGTCAAAAAAAAAAAAATAGTAAGCTGAAAAGCTGTAAAAAAAAATAATAAAATTTTGTATTCAACATGCTCAAGGCCTTGAAGTGCTTGTGAGAGTAAATATATAAATTCAACGAAATAAATTCCAAAATTTATTTCCATTTTCTTGCTCTAATTGTTGAAATGTAAATATTTGCATATATATATATATATATATATATATATATACATATCTATAAATATATAGAAGGAAAAACTTTGCATTTGGTGCAAATTAAAAAGTTTTCGTCATGTTTGATGTGAGTTTTCTTATCGTTTTTTATGCTATTTTTTTCTTACTTGCAGAAATTTGTGAAACCATCAGCAGCAGCGCTCTCATCCGCATCCCTTACATCGGCGGACAGTGGGGAAATTGATATCGATGGCGATAACGGTTCCGGACATGGCGGGGTAAGTTCCTCCTCAACGCATTCCAATCACGAATGCCGAATTTCAATTAATTTCATCGAGAGACTCATCGATGAGCAGGGAGTGCGAGATTGAGTCCAGGACCCGGGTCAACAAATTTGCTGAAGTGCTGATTCAGCATGCTATGCATCTTCATCTTCATCAGCAGCTTTCCGCATGATAGGCTAATGAAAGTTGCCAGCAGTCTGTTATTATTTAACTTATTCTCAGTTTGTTTATTGCATTTTATTGCATTTGCATATATTTTGTGGAGTTATATGCATAATAAATTCCCATGTGTACACTGTCTATGGAAAACTTATTGTTTTGCAAGTGCGAATATGTATTCTATTCATACACTCAGACAAAATCGACATGAATTTTAGAAAATTGCCTTGTTTTGGCACTAAGGATAACTCTCCTTATTATTCAGAATGTATATTTCTAAAATTGATCCCAATGTCTTTCCAAGCTTTTTCATTTCTTAATTCTAAAATTAGAAAAAGTATGTCTAATTTCGAATGTCTGTTTTTATATGTATACACAGAACTCTTTTGTTGCTTATATTATTATTAAACATTGGTACTTTAAGATTTCACTTATACAAACATTTCAATAGATTATAAAAAGCAAAGAAAGCAAATTGCAATACTATTTTATGCATTTTAGAAAGGATTTTAATTAAAAATACAAAAAAAGCTTTTCAAATATGAAGAAATGATTTTTTCGAATATTTATAAATTATTTCTAAAACATAGAAAATTATTTTTACTTTTGATGTGTGTATTTAATGTTGGGTTACTGTTTTATTATATATTTTATTCCATATTAGAACCGCCTCTGTGCATGCAAAGCACAGCGAATTAAAGAGCCATAATTTATGTAAAATATTGAAATATGAATTCGCAAACTTTTATAAATTAGCCTAGCAACAAATAGAATGTAATTTTAAGTAAACTGAAGCAAATTTGAAATCACTACAGTCTTTAAGCCATTTAACAAATTATGCGGCTACTGTTTTCAGTGGAGAGATTCTGGGAATTGTGAATAATTTATTAAAACGCTTGCCAAGCCATAACTCTTGAACAGTTTAGGGTCATGAAGCGAAGATGCCACTTGTTTGTATGTAGTTTAATAAGTATCAACAGCTTGACAGTGGTGCACAAAGGTTACAGAGAGAGTTGGTTGTTCACACGGCAAGGAGTAGATGGGGAAATAAATAAATAACCAAGTTCCTTATGCCAAAATCACAATGATCCGACGTGTTATCTCTCTGTACATGTCATAAACTTTCCTAAAGAGTCGACAAAAGGTTCTGTGTGTGTGCCAAGTTATACGTGAAACAAACAAAACAAAAAGGTGAAAAATTTACACGTTTTCAACGGAAATGGTAGCTTACATAATCAAAACTTGGCGTTGAAAATTGTTTATGCGCATGAAATGTTAATGCAACACACACACACACACACGCACACATACAGATAGCCTGCCACTTGTGTTATGCGTGTGTGTTTGACATGTGAGCGACATTTTGTTTGAAAGTTTTTTGACAGTCGCTGCTCGACATACATTGAAAACACACCAACAAACACACATCGTCAATTGTTGGCACAGACTTTTTGATTTGTTTTTAGCGCGCGCAGACTTCAAACAAAACAGTAATACAACAACAACAACAACAACAACAAATAAAAAAAAAGAGGATTAAAAAAAAAAAGGAAAACTAATTAAAATGCGTTGCGCTGTCATTCGCATGCCATCCACCCATCAGTCACTCCCTTCATCTGCATGTGGAGAAATGAAAAATAAAAGAAAATATCGTTTAATTAAATTCTTTTTCGGTTGCCAATTTCCTTTCTATTGCTTCTCGTTCTCGAATTTAATGAAATATTTTGCCAATCTGCTGCTGCTGCTGCTGCTGCTGTCCTTTGCTGTCCTTTGCTGTTTGCCATTTGTGTTTGCGCAGAGACAAAAACCTAAATAAAAGTTGCTACAAATAAGGAATAATAAACAGGAAGCATAAAAATTAAAGCCAGTCGCGTAATTCAATCTCTCATTGATGCGGGGCACGTTGCTTGTTGCACGTTGTGGCCTTTCTTTTTGTGCCGTGCCGTGCCGTGCCGCGCTCCTGTTACTAAATCAACATGAACAATTTCCGAAATGGCTGCTTCACTCGAATTTGCATAAGCAAAAAACGAGTTGAATATGTGTGATGGCATATTTGGCTATTTGTTTCATCGCTGAGATATGAAAATGCAACATAAATAGTCAAAACTTTTGCAAAAAAAAATAAAAACAAAAAAAGGTTGCTGCTGCTGTTGATGAGTTGACCAAATATAAAGCCAAGTCCGCATCCAAAGCGTTTGCCCGTCCAGCTGATGCCTGTCACATTCTCACTGTCTCTTGCCCTCTCTCTCTCTCTCTCCGCCTCTGTCTCTTTCTCTCGTTGTACGTGCACATTTTCGCACTGTGGCATTTTTCTAATTTCCCCTTTTTGGCCTCTGCTCGGGACGCTTTCCTTTCTGCGCCATTTCCGTTGCGGCATTGCTGCATGTCCTGCTGCTGCTGTTGCTCTTGCTGCTGCTGCTCCTGCTGCTGCTGCCTGCCTGTCTGAATTGGTATGTCCTGCTCCGTATGAGCTGGCATTTTTATGCAACTGACAAACGCCAACGTAGCTACTCATGTGTATATGAGTTGAATACACCCCAACCCCCCCACCGCCCAACACCATCTCACATCTCCATCTCATCACACGTCCTGACTTGTTGGCAGCAGGCAAATGTAATTTGTTATACGCTCCGTTGGCCCCTTGAGGTTAGCGCAATACAGTTGTCAACTATTTCGCTTCACTTTAAAGTAGGAGCATCAGCCAGAAAGGTATTTGCTGTTTTCTATTTTTGAACTTGCCACTCAAATGTTGCAGCAACAAATATTGAAATACTTAAGTGTCAAGTAGCAAACTCTCTGCTGACTGTTTGCTGCTCCGCTGGGCTTCATTTCGTTACGCAAATGAGACTAGCTGAAAATGGTTGTCTGCGAGTCATGTGATTAATATCATTTGCCTCAGGAGCGAGAAGAACTTTTGACAGCAGTGTTGAACAGCGCCAAACTGTAGCTAGCAAAGTCAAGCTTGCAGCATTAAAAACTTTTCAGATACTTTTCACAGAGAGAGAGCGAGGAAAGAGAAGAGGAGTCAGAGCTAGTTCATAGGATTTCAGCTGGTGTCATCTGAGTTTTAAGCGTACATTATTAATGATTTACAATGAAATGCTTTCGCCTCGTGCTTCTGCTGTCCTTTGCCTTTTGCTGTCTGGTGCCGCTGCGTCCGTTTATAAATTATGATGAATTTGGGGCATGTGCCTAATGTGTCATTTCGCATAAGCTGCAGTTGTTTTTAGATTAATCAGAGGATGCCAAGTTAATCAACGCATATGCCACATGATTTATGACACTGTTGTGCGGTTTGTGCCTCCATTTAACACATGTTCCACAATCTTAAGTGTTTTTGCGACAATCGTCGAGGGAGTATTGAAAGCATCCACCCGCGCCCATTTTTGAGGGCTGTCAACAACATAATGAGATTTTGTTAAAGCCCAGCAAATGTGCAATGATCGGCATATTTGGCCTTAAGCCAACATGCCGCACATTGAGGCAGGTCAGCATGGTCCAGCTGCAGCCAGCAATGTGCCAGGCTGGTTTTGCTTGTTGCTGGGGCTGTCGACGCAATAAGCCGCATTGCATTGGATTTAGTAGGCTGCTACATGGCACGTGGCATGTGCATCTCCCAGTTGATTAATAACGTGCACATGCCTGCACGTGCACCATCCAAAGGCAGCAACTGTTTGCATAACACACTATAATACTCAAATACACACACAAAGCACACACACACACACATTCGCAGTATGTACGTGCCGCATAGTGGCTGCGCTGTTGGTATTTGTGTTACACATGCCACACACACACTGTGTGCAAATTCGGTAAATGCGCATGGGACAATAAATTAACTTCGATTGACATGGTTGCCGCACGGGAAACGCATTAGCTGCAAATACATACAGATCCGAGCTGAGCGCCCATTCACTAAAAGAAATCAAAGTGTGAATTGCACCAATACGAAAAGGAATAATAAATGCAAAAAAATTGAGCTCAAAAGATATTTAAATAATGATTTTATTTTAATATAATTGCGGCCATTTACAATGTGTAACAACTTTAATTTGGTTGCAAATTACTGGTACTCAATGGATAAGCCTCAATTTGAAAGACAAAGTTGGTCTGTATAAAATCGTTTAAGTCTTCTTCGAATAAGTGAACCTATGAGTTGAATAGGAGGTGTTGAGGTTTAACCAGCTGTGAAGGCGTGAAATTGAATTAATTATTTTCCTGAGGGGTTTAATCTAAAGCGCTCTGCTTAGAACATTAAGAACAGTAAGCAGAAACCAGCAAGTCGACATTTTGTATCGAACTGATTTTATTGCTTATATGGTTAACAGAGTTCACTTATTTAATAATTATTACAAGACATTATTACAGTGTATTTCAGTGTATTTTTCCTTTGTTGAAAATGTAGCACATGTTTCAACTCAAATGATTTATTTATGAAATACCTGCTGAGGTTTCTACGTCCTTTTTGAGACAAACAACCTGCTTTCTTTACTTGCTTAAAATATGGCTCATTTTTGAATAGGGTTCTTTCTTGAAGAGTTTAAATGTGTTTCTGCCAATGAAGGGTTAACGACCATAAGTTTGTTGACTTTTGTTGAACTTTGTTGCTGTCGAATTGGCAGAGTAGATAAATCAAAAACAGCGCTCAATACTATAAACTATGCTTTGACATAAAATCAAGGTAAAATACAAAGATTTAAAAGATGATTAATAGCGAACATAAATTGTATATGACAGTTATATATTGGGAACATTTTTTCATTTATTAACTTGCTTTGGGCTGGCAATTTTCACTAGTTGAGAGTTAGACATACATGTATATTGGAAACATTGCT